TGCTGGTTTCATCCACCATGTCCACTTGTTGAAGCTTTCTCCTAATTCTTTAATTGCTCTCCCTTTTTTTCCTCAGTTATAGATGTTTCCATCAATATTATTATGTCGTGTCTTTTGGGCGACCTTGCAGCATCCCGGATCCCTGTCATTCCTGCTATGTTCCAAACCACAACCTTTATTCTGTTATGTTTGCTACTATATCTACAATTTTATCTGCTATTATTATTATATCCAATACTCTTCATTCTCATTTTTACTTTCTTGCCTTTATTTTTATTTTTACATTTCTTTACTCCTTCTTCTCCATTTCCCTTTAAACTTTCATTCTCTCTGCTTCCTCTCCCGCATACGAAAAATTCTCATTTTTAATATGATTCCTTTCTCCCTCACACTCATCTGTGATACTATTACAATTATTACAAAAGTAATTATTATGAATGCTATCCCTTTTCTTTTTTTTACCACTTGTTCCATCCCCACTTCTTTTTTTATTATTGTACTTCACTGCTTTTCTTCCATTGCCACATACACTCACCTCCTGTTCCCCGCCGTCGCTCTTTGATCTGTTGCTCTTCATCTCTGTCTTCTTCATTTCCTCTGCTTCCAGTGATAGCTGTCTTAATCTCTCCTCAACTGCTTCTGTTTTTTTAGTTCTACTCAGACAGCTACACTCTTTGCCTCTTGTTTGGGTGTACAATCATTATATTTTATCTAGTTATGTTTTTTTAGACACAAAGTAGCAGCATCATATTCCCTTCTATTTCCTATCAGCTGCATGCTGTGCCCTTTAAAACTTCTGTAGCTGCATTGTCGGTGCTTTAATAATTAATTTAATGTTATACTACGTCTTTTCGGGTTTTTTGAAATATTTTCGGCAAAGCCTGCACCATTGAAATTGTGTCGGCGAAGGTTTTTGTATTGACATACTTTCATCTTTTTTTGCTGATTCGATTCCATCGATATCAGTACATTTTTCGTGAATATATCGATTGAATTTAGCATATATCAATTTTGGTATATCACTTAGGTCTTCCGAACACTGTACATATTTTTCTGTGACATTTTCCGATTTTTTAATAAGTGTTTCCGCACCATGTTTACGGAATTTTACAGTATCAAAATTTAGGTCAAATTTTTGTTTTTTTCCTATACAGCCCATATAGTGCATTATGTATAATGCATATTTTTGCATGGTGCATGCCATGTATGAGTCGATGACAACATCGTCTATCATTGAATTACGGTGTGCTAAGCATTTGAAATTACTAGCTTTTAGGTAATATGTTTTATATAGAATGGTACAGTCTTCCCTGGCTTTGTAGAAGCTAATCATTATTCTATTTGAATTTGACTTTCACAGAAAAAACTTTGTAAAAGAAGTAATGGAAACTTAATGTTTTTAAATTTATTAATAATTAAATATCATTTTCATCAGTATCATGTTCTTCATAACTATATAAAGCATTTTTGTTATATTGAAAATGTTTCAAATCTTCTACGTTCAATAATTTAATGTTATGTGCAACGTAAGTTATTATAGCCGCTCTTTCTAAGCTAAGACGATTTCGTTGACTGGAATGTGTCCAACCGTATGTACTGAAACCCGATAGACAAACCCATATTTCTGTTGCTATTTTACTTAGTTTTACACCTCTATATATGCCACTCCACTATTTTAGAGCTGTTAAACTTAATCCTGTACGTTGAACATAATCATCACTGAAGAATCCAGCATTTAGAGTATAATCAGGAAGTTCAGTGGTTATCTCATTTTCATTTAGACCAAAACGTGCAATTTTAGTAAATAGTAATTATTTCCAGATCTCGTAAATCTTGACCTTTTATTGAAGGCTCTGAAAGATTAGCTGCTAAATGTATCGGTTAAATGGCCATAGCTCTCCTAGATTCCAATAACTGGAAAATGTTATTTTTGTCTTCATTTGAAAATGGTGATGCTTCTTGTCCCAGTTCGGAGTCAAAAGAAGTTGAACATCATTATTATCTTGGAAATAGTCATAATGTCCTCCACTTTTCTTGCCAGTAAAAATAAATGGATATCGTTGTCATATTTCGAAGGGCTTGTCGACGCAATCGAAAAATAGATATTATTCCTATTTCTCCATAATAAAATGCGATTGCTATACATTTTTGCAAAGATGCCAATTTTGAAATCGGAGCCATAAATGGTATTTCGACTCATATAATTTTTATACTTCGCAGCAGTTGTGTATTTTATCTTAGTACGGGTTGCATGCAAAATGTATTTTCGGTTTTAAAATTTTGTTCAACGTAGTCAACAATTCCTTGGCGTATTATTCGATGACAATCTTCGTTTGTATAAATAGCATACGAAAGTGCACGGAATAAATATCTACCATCTGCACTGATTCTAATTATTTCGAATGCAGTTGGAGGTAACAGTGACATAATTTTACAGTGCTCAGAAACCATATCATTTTCAACGAAATTGGCATCAATAGGCAATGTAGTCTGCTGAATATCCGCTGTCTTTGTATGGATTGTAGACAAGTTCATCAGTGTCTCCACATTCTGGGATGGATCACAATTACCGATATTTTTTCGCACCAATATTCCCTTCTGTTCAACGATGACTAGATCAATATTGACTTCATTGGAATTACTAAACGGTTCTGATTCTTCTGTTCTTGCATGGCCATCAATGAGAGACAAGTCCATGGTTAACTCCACATTTTTAGATGGATCACGATTACCGATATTTTCTCCTATTAATCCTTTTACTCGTTCAACCATTTCTGAATTTGTGTCTATCTTATTATCTGCATTTCGTTTATCTATTGCATTGCTGATGTTATCTTCGACAACTGATGACATTGTTTTTTTCTCTTCATCTATAGCGTTCGAGTTTGTACCTAGTTTTGATGATGTTCGCTTGTGACTCACACAAGTGAGCTGTTCGTGTGTAGATCTTGTGTGTGTTTCTGTCCATGAGGCCGTGAGGCATCGAAGCCGACATCGTTCGCGCTTTTTGTAAGAAGGTGCTGATTCGGACCAACTTGAGCTTACTGATGATGTCTCATGAGAGTCAGGCTGCCTGATAAGTTCACAATCATCACTATAGATGATTGACTGATGAGTTATTCCATGTCGAAAGAATATTCTGAAGAGTTCTCTGCTAGTACACAATTACCGAGTTGACTATGATGCTTAAGAGTCGTCCGAGTTCAAGCTACGTACGAATACTACCAGTAACCGACGTATACGAAAGACTATGGACTGTTTTTCCCAAAAACTCTGCGTTTTCGAAGCTTCTAAATCCTTTGAGAAGGGATATCTACGCAAATGAGTTGGCCGGAGAGACCTTTAATTGTCTAATTAGTAGGTGGGGAGAAAAATGTCAGGATATAGATAAAATACTCCCGAACAAGTCAGAACACTTACATTTTCTAGACCTGGAATTCGTGAAGTTATGGAGTAAATATTTGCAACCTCAATCAGTTTAGTTTCAACATCAGTAGCATTACTTTTAAGCGGTTTCACTTTTTCTAACATTTTCTAATATTGGCTCGAGATATATTATTCCATGCTTGCTAACAAAAATAAAAGCAATCTTAAAGATTGAATTGTTTCAAATAGTTATCATTACTACCCAGATAGACATAATTTATTAACATATGTACATCATAACATAAAATAAAAATCATCAAATGCCAACATTTTTATGTTGGTTATGATTCGATTTTTGACGAAATTATGTGGAATAATTTATATATGGGGATGAATACATACAACGTACGTTTTGTGCTCATACACAGTTCATATTGTCTGTATGATGTGCTCAAGTAGAACTCATCAGATATCATCAAGCGATGAGCTCCGTATGGGGAATGAGGGTTCTGTTTTTTTTGTCATGTGGAAGTATTCATGAATATAAAAGAGTCGTCAAGTTGAGCTCATGAACCTTCGTCAAACGATAAGCTCACTTTGACGAACATTTGTTTAGGATTATTGAACCCAAAAAAAAAAGAAAAAGAGATTTTAACTCCGTCCATTCCCCAGCCCCCCTCTACTACTGCTTTTTTCTCCCACCATACTTTGCTTTCTGATTATTTTTTTTTTTTTAATTTCCCACTACTAATAAAGTTTTTATTTAACAATATTTAATTGAATTTAAAGGAAGGTTACATATACCTATTAATGGTTGAAAAATTGTAAACTGCCGGAGCGGGATTGAGAACTTGGTACCCTTCTTTCTGTCGAAGCCTCCGTACAGCTGTCAGAGTGCGCCTTAACTAATTGAGCCACGCCGCTATTCTAAATCTATCTTTTATTTTTGTGCATAATAGCATCGACTAAGTTTTGCAATTGTTAGTTACAATAAAGTAAATTCTAGAAAGTAGTGTTTAATAAAGTACTATTCATTAAAAGACTGAATAGAAATTTATTTGGTCAGAATTCTTTATAAATACAAGTACAACTACGATTGAATATTTCAACTTATTCTAATTTATAGCGATTCTTATTTTTTTTTTCATTTTCTTATTATGAATTGAAAAACTTGGCCAATTCAGCATCCATTCTTTGACGCGTACTCTGTCTGCTATTTTTTTTCCTTGTTTTAATGATCGTAAAACTTCTTGAAAATGTCCCTTAAATTCGGGAAGTGTCAATTTTTTATAATGGGAAGTTGTTGCACCTGAAACATATATATATATATATGTATATATTAAATGATAGTGTGGGTACACGAGAAATAATATTAAATAGATATAAGTGTACTTACTTATCATGACTTTTACTATATTAGTCAAACATAACGGCTTTATGCCTGTACTTTCCTCTGACTCCTTTATTCCATAATAGGTGTATTTTCAGGCTAATTTAGGGGTAAGAGTCGCGAAGACAATGTTTTGTATGCATTTGCGTACATTCGATGGATTTCTTATAAATTTGTAATAATTGAGCTCAAAATTTAAAATATTTATTAAAATTATAGAATAAATTACTAACAATTCAATCATCACAACTATATTTTACCAAATGTCTCTCCTGTTGTCCAGAAAGGCTTTCATGAAATTTATCAAATTCTTTCTCGGTTTCCAAAGGTAATTCTTCTGGAGGTGTAGTATGGCGTGATCTAGTGTCATGCATTTCATTCCTGTTCAATCAATGCAATGTATCATTAATATTATGATGATTAAAAAAAGTAATTATTTATTTATTTTAATGCATGATTTGCAAACTTATTGCAAAATTATTTACCGTATGTCATGTAGCTTTGTAGATTGTTTGATCCATAGTTTTCATCTGATGGTCGTATTTGATGAGATGAAATCGTAAGTGAATGCATTTGACTGTGCAAATTATAGTCTCCATGGTCTCTATTCTTCAGGGAATATCTAATCTGATAAGCTACAATTATATACAAATAAGTAGTTTCTCTCTATGTTACTTAGTAATGTAATCAAGTGCATGTGAAGGATTAATTGATTTACAATTTTAAAGTGAATCGTTGAAGGTACATTTCATGTAAATCAATTGATTGTTATTTACCTGCAGTGTGACTGGGAGGTGGATGCACTTGAACCTGTACCTGATAATTTCCAGGGTCTCGAATATCCATGAAAGAATTTCGATGAACTATAACGATAAAATAACATGAAAATGAATCAGTGTTAAAAGTCACCCGATAGTACGATTGATTCGAATCAATAAGTTTTACTCAAGAATAGGACTTGATAATTAAGTAACATGTACTAACCTGAAATAGAAGAAGAACCATGTTATCTTCGTAAGGAAATGCTGAAGATGAATGTAAATTCCCTTCCAATGTTAGAACATATTCAGCAACATGCAGAAGACCATGTACATTGTATGTAACAAATATTTCTCCGTAAATATCGGATGCAATTTTCACATATTCCCGATAAGCATCTGTTGGATACTGAAAATCTAATTGATTCGGAAAGGTTATCAACAAAGCCCTAGTTGCAGTATACAAGAATAAAACATGTGCATAAACATCATCATCTAATATATTATAAAATATTACTGGACCAGTGAATAATAAAATTTGTCTAAATTCAGTTGCTTTGAAATCTTAAAGACGGGTTAGACTACGGGGACGGCGTGCAAATTTAGAAGAACAATATTCACTCAAGTATAATAATCGCCGGGATATTTGTTTCACATCCGTAGCAGGTGTATTAAGTCTCGTTGTGAATTTATTTTGTGTTATCATTGTTAAGAATCTTTTAACTACCCCGAGACATATTAAATGCACATATTCAAAGGGTACATTACTGACCATGTTGAAATTCAATGATCGTAAGGTTGGCTGTTTTGTACGAAAATGATGATATTGATCAGAAGCTTGTAAATAATCTTCATTACTCTGGAGTCGAAAATTAAAATTTAAGAGCATCAGCGATAAGTCAATGAATATAGATGGGAATTCTCTTTTTTTTAAATTCTATACCGTTCTGATTCTAAATTTCTATTAATTCATCTACGAAATACCTGAAAAATTCGGTTGGATCGCTTGGTTTGCCTTCACCAAAATACATTTTAATCTCTGATTTGCCGAGAGTAGTAAATAATTATAAGTAAATGTTATTGCAATATTTGGTTTGTTAGAATAAAAAAATTCTTTCACTCAAGATTTTGAAATGTCGAAGAGACTGAGATGTCATCTTAGAAAGGTTTGTTTGGAGTAATAGTTGAATATGTAAAGAGTATGCTTTATCGTGTAAATTGTCGACTGTGGTCTTAACTCAGGTGTTATTTACTTCGGTCTATGGCATTTTCTTAAATTATGCGATTATCCCCTATGGACTTGTCGACTAACAGAAGTAAATAACACCGAAGTTGCTCCTCTTCAATAAATAAAAATGAATCTTTTTATATAGGTATAGCAACCATTGACCTCAAGAATTGCGGCAATAAGAATTTAGAATATTTTAGTCATGTTGTCCTCAAAGCTCCAGGTCAAAATGGGTCCAATAGGGTTGTATCAATGAAGTAACGTTTGAAGGCAAATACGAAATGGTACAAAATGATGACAATTTGTGTAACTCCTCAGTGGAGCAATGACATGCGGCATTATCCATAATTAAAATATTAACTTCCCAGTGGGAAGTTATAGTAATGGGTCCGATTTTGCGAATCGCTAATTTTGACATATCTCCACGTTTTAAGGTCCCGCGAATCCAATCCGACCGTTTTCCAGTGGACGTCTGTGTGTGTGTATGTACGTATGTGCGTATGTGCATATGTGCGTACGTACGTTCGGAATTATTTTTCGCCTCGATTATCTCGAGAACAAAAAACGATATCGATGTGTGACCAATTGCATTCGACGCGTAATTACGTAACTTAGAACTGAAAAAGTTTTCAGGAAAATCAGTCCAGCCATTTTTTTTGCAGAACCAAAAAACTAGCAAAAATGGAAAATAACCTGAATTTCTCAATTTATAAATTGTACCATTTTTTAGACAAAATTATGAAATCATAAAAAAAATATGAATATTAAATGATTGGAATACTTGTATGGATATATGATGACAATATTTCATCGAAAAAAAAAAATTTAAAAAACAATATCAGCAATGAAAGAATTTTAAACTCGTGTCAGGATTGAGAAAACAGCATTAAAGACGCTATAATAGTCAATAATAATTGTCAATAATATGGAATTGTGTTCATAACAATTGAACATTGTTACTAACAAGTGATTATTGATCATAGTAATATTTAAATAATAAGTTTTAAATTGTTATAAACAATAAAAATAGGGATCCATTCTATATATATGTGTACTTTCAACGCATGATTTTTTCTTCTATTGAAATAAAGTAACTAACTGTGTCAAATGAATAAAAACAGACTCATTTCGTTTATAACAATTCTATTTGTTATAAAAAATGGAAACAGGTTTTATTCGAATTGTTTTTTCATTTTTTCCACTGGGAAGTTGGTCGTGTGGACCTTTCGGGTTGCACCCAGACCACTGCAGAGCACTGATATTTTTGATATCTGTATTGTTGTTGAGATTACGTTCTTTAGTAACTGCCGGTACAAAAACTTCATAAAACCAAATCTTTATAAAATCACTGGTCACCCACGTTTTTTTTTCTGGCTCTACAATAGACAGGTAAATTTTTTACGTTTTTAAAGCATCGTTGCTGTGCAGATTTTTCTATTATGAATAGGGGTACTTCATGAGTACCGGAGGCATTTGTACAAGTCATGGCTGTTAAGCGGTTCTTCGATTTTTTTCGTCCATCAGCACATTTTTCACTTTTCATTACAAATGATTCAGCCGGCATCAATTTCCAATAAAGGGCAGTCTCATCACAATTATAAATGAGAATAGTCCCCGTAACTTTGATTGAATGATTCAATATTATTTTTAAATCTTCACTTCCTTTGTGATTGGTTGATAATTTTCCACCCTGCGCACGGATGAATTTCAAACCATGTCTCTTCTTAAATCCGGAAAACCAACGAAGTTATTTCCACTAACATCAGGTTTACGAAAGTAGATGATTCCGTCGTAAAATAATGAAGATTGTAAAAAAAATCTAATAATTTGATATGTACTTTACAGTTATTAAACGAACAGTGATTGCAACGAAGAAAGACGAAGAGAGAGGGAGTGAACTCTATGGCAGGTAGAGCTACAGCCTGCATGCACGTGCTGTCTCAGTTTACGACGAGACTCGCTGTCAAATCAACTTCCATTAAGATAAATTTTTTTTTTTTCAATTGTAAATAAAAAATAAGGATCATGCCGGTATTTCAGGATTTGTACGATTCTACAATTACAGTATGAATAACCTGATCATAAATATTAAGATTATATGCGTAGCATTGTCTAAATATATTATTTGTTTCCACTATTTCATAATAATGTGTATGAAATAGATGTTATTGATTGCGTAATATTCTGGAAAGCGAATGTTTCATTTTCCGCGGTCAAATAAAATTATGAAAAGAATTTTAGATCCAATATAATCTTTTTTTTTTCGAATTTTCTTCTTTAAAAAAAGTTAAGGAGCCGTTTTGTGAGTAATAGGGTCCGAGCAGTTTTGAAAATTGAAATGATACTTAATGATTCTGGTTCGTTAAAACACAGATCTTCAGTAAAAAAAAAATTGTTTTTATTCGATACTCACATAATGGCACAAAGAACCTCGACCGAGTGCTGAAAAACTGATTTCTTTTCCATCATTGACGAAATCTACAATTATTCTGGCCAATTTTTCAACATCAAAATTCGAACCCATTTTAATGTAAATATATTTTCTAACCTGTAAATACTTGAATGATTATATACTAACTCATTTTATACTATTAATGAAATTTCTGAACAATAAATCCAAACTGAACTGTTTTATATACTAATATAACATTAAATGAAAAAACAGCAAACAGACCCGGAACTTACTGAGATTTTACAGAGTAACTCATCTCTACAATTCCAAGGGACTGTAATTTAAACAAATTTAAAAATTTATTGTGATGTTTCCCAATGTGAATGCCGTTCGTACTTACCTGAATGACTCCGAAGAGTGGCCTTTGACGTCGTACATGGCCTTGCACACCCTAGTCAGATACAGACTTCACTAAAACTTAGAGAGAAAAATATCTGGGTCTACATCAAGAGAGATACCATCACTTGAGCTCGTGAATGTCTTGTCTGCCAAAAATTAAAAGTGCAACGACACACCAGACTTATACCTAATCGTATCACTGTACCTGATGTTAGATTTAGTCACATTCACATAGACTTAATTGTTCTACCAAAGATTAATGAGTACAACTACTGTCTAACGATTATAGACATGTTCTCCAGATGACCTTAGCTGTGCCTCTCAAGAACATGACCGCTGACACAGTCATTACAGCTCTATTCGATCACTAGATCAGCCACTACGGTACTCTAACTACTACTACAACTGATCAAGGCGCTCAATTTGAATCTCAGGTATTCCAAGCCTTTGCAAATTTCATCGGGGCTGAGAGATGTCGAACAACAGCTTATCATCCACAGTTCAACGGCTCAGTTGAGATTCCATCGCACGCTAAAAGCTGGTCGATGTGACCGAGTCAGAGGAGCACTTGAATCACCCTATGAAGGACCGTTCAAGGTCATCGAGCGTCTAACAGAACAACTCTTTGCAATTGACGTCAACGGTTAAAGGCAGAACATCTCCGTAGACAGACTTAAGCCGGGTTACACCGACAAACAGGATCAGCCCAACAACACAGCTCATTCACAACCTTAAACACTACAGCTTGAACCATTTGCCTCTCAATCTACTCTTCAACCTGAAAATTCTCAGACATCATTTGAGATTCGTCAACCCCACCCACCATCCGTAACAAACGATTCATCTGTTCACAGGTCTCGCTCATCAGACAGTCCGTCTCTTCCAGGATCACCTGTTCAACTACAGTCGCATCAGTAGACATCAGCCATGGCTCCACCGTTACGGACTTACAGTCGTCAGCGAATTACTTTCAAACCAACGGAGAAAACTCCAAACAAGAAGTCGAGCGGGCCAATCAAGCGGCTAGACGGAGTCATCAGACGGTTTAGAAGCCACCTTCGTCATTCGCCATAGCTGTGGCACAA